CTCCTGGGGGGATTCTGCACCACTGTGCAATGCTGAATGAGCACAGAATTAATGTTCTGCACAGAGTTCCCTGGACACAATACTCCAGATGAGGCCTAACCAGAGTGGAGTAGAGTGGAAGAATGACTTCTCGTGTCTTGCTCACAACACACCTGTTAATACATCCCAGAATCATGTTTGCTTTTTTTGCAACAGCATCACACTGTTGACTCATATTTAGCTTGTGGTCCACTATAACCCCTAGATCCCTTTCTGCCGTACTCCTTCCTAGACAGTCTCTTCCCATTCTGTATGTGTGTATGAAAAAGTATAGAAGTGGAGTGATTTTTGAAAATGCAAAAGCCAGAGGGGACTTGACTGTGGTATTGAGGCTTCGAAGCACAGAGTAATAACTGATCAGTTCCTCTTATAATATGAGAACAAGGAGACACTCAGTGAAATGAATTGGTATGTACTCTGAATACAGTTAAAAGGAAGCACTTTTCACAACATGTACTCAGGCGGCACCATTCTCTACCACAGAAGTTCACAGAGTCAAAGACTGAAGTTGTTTAATGAAGTGGGTTTAATAAACTGGATAATAAATAAATGAGCAGTTATTTACACTATGGCAATTGATTCTCATGCTCTGGGACAACAGCTGATTGCCAAAGGGATCAGAAAAGAATTTTCTTCCTCCCGTACAGCCCTGTGCAATTGCCACAGTTCATTATGGGTGATTTTAACCTTCCTCTGCAACTTCAACTAGTGGCCATTGTTGCAGACAGGGTATTGGAATTGGTGGATCAATGCGTTATTCACTTGACAAATTCTATGTTGTTTATTTTGGGTGCCCAGAATTGTGTACCAAATTTTAATAAGGCGTCTGATTTACAGGAGCTGCTCAGAAACCAGAGCTTCCAGGAAGTTCCACTGATGTCCCAGGGAAGCTGTAAGTACTCTGCACATCTGAAAACCAAGCTACTTATTTAAATATGGATTTTGGTTCCTATCTTTGGGCACTCAAGTGTGAGAATTTTGGTCCATGTACTTATCACCAGGTGAGGCAGTATTCATCATTTTGTCTTGCACTGAATCAGGCTTCTCAAGAAGTACAGATCCATGCATGTTC